TCTTGGCTCCTTGAGCTTGTGGACGAAGCAGGTGGGGGCGCCGCGGGCCGTGAGGGGCTGGGAGCGGAGCTGCTGGGGGCGGCTGTCCCCCGCCAGGAGCTGGGAGGTGCTGTCCGTCACCAGGAAGAGCCCGTAGGCCTCCGGGTTGGAGACGCTGTACTTCTTGCTGCAGGCCAGGCACACGGAGGCTGCGGTCATGTGGGCGGGGCCAGGAATGGCCTTCTGGTTGGCGAAGGGCTCTTCGAAGGAGACATAGAGGATGTCCTGAGAGAAGGGGGGGAGGGGCTAAATCAGGCAGACCAGAGGCTAGGATGATGGGCACTCTATGTATACACCATACTGAAACCTGATGGCAGAGAGATGTGGCCCATTGGGGTCGGGCACTGCACTGGGACTGGAGAGATGTGGGCTCTGTCCCTGCTGGGTGACCTTGGACAAGTCCTGTTTCCCCCATGCCTCAGTTTCCCCTCCCACTCTGTCCATTTGGAGTAAGCTCTCTGAAACAGAGCCCCTGGGTGCTACCGTAATACACCTAATAAACCACCTCAGGCAGCTCAAGAGCGACTGTTCATCACTGTGGGCAGTCACGACCGACCCGTTAACTTCATACAGAGTGAATCATTATTTGGCACCGCACGTCATTCCCTCTCTGAATAAGGGTGCTGGGCCTTTAAGAAGGCAGGGCCCTATGGCTCCGCCCACTGGGTGGCGCTGTATGTATATAACCAAGGGCAGGAGGTGGCCACTTCAGTTCTTTGGGCCAGCCTGTCTGTGGGATGCGCATCTAACCAGGCTGGGGAGAGGCTGAACCTCAGACCCCTCTGCCCCCAAAGCACTAAAGACGAAAGAGAATCTCCTTTAGCTGCCAGTACGGGGTCTAAGACCATGCACAGCCATTCCACCTCTGTGCAGAGGGAGAGGAGGAAAGCTGCACAAACATCTGCCACAGCTCAGTCCAACCCCCCCGACCCCTTAGTCCTTCCAGCCCCGTCCCCCTCCCAGAACCCGGGTCGGAACACGGCTCCTCTCCGAGCTTGTCGCTCCGGCGTCTTTACGGGCCAAGGCGGCGGAGCTGAGGGCCTCAGGCAGGGCACCGGCGCACAGAGCTGGGAGCGAGCCCAGGCCGAGCCCACGAGCATCCGGCCCCCAAAATGAATAATTCCGCACACGTCACTTGTTCCACAGCTGTGGTGGCTGCAGCCTGGCAGGGGAGATCACTGGGCCCCCCCCCCGTTCCTGAGGGGGAGAGGGGACTGACCTCAGAGGCCACCCAGCAAGTCAGGGCCAAAGAGCCCAGGATCCCCGGCTCCCCGCCCCGTCCGTCGTAATCCGCAGACCCGACTAGCTCCCTAGAACCAGCAAGAGAACCCAGGAGGCCTGGCTCCCATCCCCCTAACCACTAGCCCCCACTCCCCTCCCGCAGGCACAGAATCCAGGCCCCCCAAGCTCCCCACCTGGCAGCGGCGCCGGGTGCCCTGGTGGTGGTGGATGGTGCGCCGGCGCTGCCACTGGTGGGTGGGGGGCTGCGCCGCGGGGCT